TATTTCGTATTTCGTATTTTGTATTTCATATCTCTTATATTGCTGTTATTTTATTATGCATTTTTATGGTACTAATATATCGGCTCCTATTACCTTTTTGAGCTGAGGGTCTCCTGGAAACAGTCTCTCTACCCTTCGGGGTAGGGGTAAGGTTTGCGTACATATTACGCTCACCAGACCTCACTTGTGCGATTATACTGGGTTGTTGTTGTTGTTGTTGTTGTTGTACTTCCCAAACAATGAGCAATGAATATGTTATATGTCTGACCAAGGGTATTTTAGGTACTTCATTAAAGTTATTTAGAAGCATTGTCCGTGTGTTAAAACCTCACTAAAACCCTCTGCTGTCTCTTCCTTCTTCTCCCAGGCTAAAAGGGGGAGAGCGAAATGACCCTCTCTCGTCTTCTTTTACCTAGATTACGATCAAGAATCAACATTTTAGGTAATTTATCAAATATCCATTTTGAAAAAGATGTTTTTTTTCTCTCATTTTTGCTTCATAATGTTGATTTTTGTGTTGTGTTCTGTTGGGGTGGGGGGTGGGGGTGGGGTTGAAAGAAGTGATTCTTTCACTTGTATTCATCTAAAAACTGGACTTATTTGCTGTTTATAGAATTAGGCAGATGAATAGGTATTTTAGCAGAAACCCATTATGAAAAAAAAATTCTTTTTTCTCTCATTTCCCCTCATAATGTTGTTACTGGTTCTTGTAAATGTATAGTGTTGGGTTGGGGGTTGAAAGAAGTGAATTTGTTACTTGTATTTACTCAAAATTGGAATTATTTGCTATTTATAGAATTAGGCAGATGAAAAGGTAGTTTTTCAAATACCATTAGGAAAGATATATATTTTTTTTCTTCTCATTTAGCCTCAAAATGTTGTTTCCTGATTTTCTATTTTAGGATTTGGGGGTATGGATACCTCTTTGCTATTTACAGTTTGTGGAAAAATGTCTTTTTTCTTTTATGTTTTGGCCTAAAAAATGTTGTTTCTTGATTCTTTGTATCGAGGTTTGGGGGTGGATTACTGATTTTTTTCACTTGTATGTATTAATGGACCTAGTTGCTATGTACAGAATGTAGAAGATGGTGTTCTTCAGTGAATAATAAGGGCGGAATTTCGCAGTCATTAAAGAAATCAGAAGTGGAGCAGCAGAATGCCATGGCTGTGGAGATATTTGAAAAGAAGTAAGATTTCTTGATTAGAATAACTATAAGTCTTTAACTTCATTTTGAGCTCAAGTACTTGGTTGAAATTTGATGATCATATTGGTGAGGTCCTAAAAGTTTAGTTGCTTATTATGTATGAATTTGCAAGATTTTGAGGTTAGTAGTTTTGGTAGTATGACGTGAAGTTGATTTATGAATTATGGAACCTGTTAAAAATATTTATGTATAATAGTACGAGATCACTACCCTGCGCTCAAAACTGATAGAGGTCAAAATACAAAGAAAATCATAGATTAGAGTAAAAGAAAGAAGGTGTTGGACATTAAAGTTCATCGTACACATGCTTGCAGTTTGTTTGTGAATCATATTATGGAAAATGTTGAAGAAAAGAGTAACCATATTTTGAGAAAATGATAAAATAAAATTGTGGAAGATTAGGCTTTGTTCCATGAGGGGAAAGAACCCATGCAAATCTGACTACTTACTTTAAAATTTCATATGTCATAAAAATTAGAATGAATAGAAAAGTATAAACCTTGATTGATTTGAAGCCATTGTGAGTTATATCTGAAACTATATAATACAGAAAAATGACCAATAGAAGTTCCCATATAGATAATTAAACCATGGCAAAGATTTGGACCTAAACAAATTTGAAGAGCAGGATCTTTAGAGTATCCTGGTGGCCATCGCAAATAATCGAGTCAGAAATCATAAACCAGGTTTAGGAAAACGGGGAATAAAAAGAAAACGAAAAACAAGATTTGGCTGATTACTAACACACAATTGAAGACACACTGAAGAAATTGAGAAATGAAAAATAGTGCTGCTGATCACATTGCATTACACTTTAAAATATTTTTCTCTCTAATGCTGAGATTTTCCGACAGAAGCTATCCTTCACGTTCAAATGAGACAAATTCACCGAATTAAGGATTTTAGATGCTTGTAATGATGCCTTGGCGTAACTGGAAGTTGATGTCATGTGACCAAGAGGTCACGGGTTCGAGCCGTGGAAACATCCTCTTGTAGAAATGTAGGTAAGGCGGCGTGGAATAGACCGTTGTGGTCCTGCCCTTCCCCGACCCGCGCATAGCGGGAGCTTAGTGCAGCGGGCTGCCCTTAGATGCTTGTAATGATGCCTCCTGTCGGTAATATAGTGAGAATTTCAACCGAGTACATAAGGATATGTTAAGATACTAGGAATAGCGAAGAAGCCATTATGTTAGAATTTGGATTATTATTTGATAAATAATTGTGCCTTAGCTTATGATTTAGATTTAGTTAATGCTTACTCTAAAAAGAAAAAAAGATTGTACCGCACTTGATAACATTTAACAATAGAGGTATGCACAACCAAATTGACTTCTTCTTACTAGAGACGCGATAGGTATATATGTATGTACAACAAGGTTGCATAACCACCCAACATGGACGGGTAGTCCTGGAAGTAAAGAGAAGGATGGAGCGTAAAGAAAGAAGAATTACATGCAACGAAGAGTTCATAGGTGGACATGAAAAGATATAGATCAATTAGCACTTCAGGACAAGCAGTTGAAAAGGGGAGCATAAGACTTGGGACAAGCAGTTGAAAAGGGGAGCATAAGACTTGGGACAAGCAGTTGAAAAGGGGAGCATAAGACTTGGGACAAGCAGTTGAAAGAGGGAGCATAAGACTTGGGACAAGCAGTTGAAAAGGGGAGCATAAGACTTGGGACAAGCAGTTGAAAGAGGGAGCATAAGACTTGGGACAAGCAGTAAGGAGGTAGAAAGAACTATTAAAGCAAAAAGAGCTTAGTATAGAAAGTTATCAAAACACAAGAGGCTGAAGCCGGTTGAAGACTATTGGAAAGCTAATAGAGAAGTTGAGAAGCTTATTAGCAAATTCGGATGTAAAAACTCTAAATTTGTACCAAAAGCTAGAGATGCAAAGGAGTGAAAGCTGCTAAATGAGTGGAGAAAAAGTACCCTAGTTTTGGTATATATAATAATAAAGGAGATATCAAATTATGCGAGCTATAATAGTATTAAGATTATGAGTCATACAATGGAATCTTGGAAAAGAGTGATAGAGCATAGACTAGATGTAAAGACACTACACGCTTTATGGAACCAATTTGGAGAAGTGCAATAGATAATGGAGAGGAAGTTCTTCATATAATATTCATGGACCTAAAAAACATATTATAGAGTACCAAGAAAATCTTTTGGTAGGTATTAGAGGGGAGAGGAGTTGATACTTGTCTATAACTGTGATAAATGATATCTATGAAGGAGCCATCACAAGCGTCTGTACTGTGGAAGGACATACAATTAAGTTATCCCTAACAATGGGTTACACTAGGGATATTCAGGTTGAGGTTCAGGGTGCATCCTTTTTGTAGATAATATTGTGTTAAATTGATAAAACTAGCGAGGGAGTCAACCAAAGGTTGAATTATGGATAAGCGACCTACTTAAGGTTTAAGATATTAGATACTTAGAGGTAACAGAGAATATATGCAATGCATGTTTAGTTTTCGTAGAAGAATGAAGTTGAAATGAGATTAGACTGTAGTTATCAAAAAACGATTAGAGGGGATTTCAAATATTTAAGCTCAATGTTGTAGGATAATTATACGAGAGATTTAACATATAGCACATATAATTGAAATAGGATAGTTAAAATAGATGTGTGTTATGGGATTAAAATAGACGTGTGTTATGGGAGTGATACGTGATAAAAGGCACCTACCAGAGCACCCAAGGGTGTGGTCTGATGGTCAATGAAGCGGGTTGAGAACCTAAGGTCTCAGATTCGAATCCCAGCAGAGACAAAAAACACTAGGTAATTTCTTCCCATCTGTTAAAGCCTTGGTGGATAGAGTTACGTGGTGCTGGTGGGAGGCAGCAAGTATCCTGTGGAATTAGTCGAGGTGCACGCTAGCTGAGGGCACCGACTAGAGTAAGAGGCAAGTTTTATGGAATGGTTGTGAGATTAATAATGTTACATGGGAGGGAGTGTTGGGCTTTTATGGCCCAATGTATTCGCAGTTTGAGTGTCATACAAATAGGATTTTAAGATGGACATGTAGTAATACAAGATCAGAAATAATCACATTTGAGGTAGACGGTACAAGTAGAACAAAGATGATAAACGAGAATGAGATAGTTTGACCATTTCTGGCTTATACCTTCAGATGGATTGGTACGTCAGTATAACATTACGACGTCTGAAGGTGATAGATTAAGAACAAGGTAGACCTAAAATCACATGGAGGATAGTTGTCTCAAGGATTTGTAATCTCTTCGCACCTATGTGGAATTAGCTAAGGATAGAACACAATATAAGCAGAAATTATCATATAGGCACTACTAACTTATTGTGATGAGGTTTACTAGTGTTAGTACACCTATAAAAGGTATGGCGTCGGAAAAAAGTATGGTGTCAATCTGTTTAGATATTTGTAGCTCAGGACGATCTTCCGTCGGGTATACATGCTACTGATCTGTTTAGATATTTGTAGCTCAGGACGATCTTCCTTCAGGTATACATGCTACAAAGTGATGTGTTGTCGTAAATGCACGGTGGAGTTCGTTACGATGATGTGTTGCAGTATAACTGTGAACATAAGTGTTAGGTATCAAAAGTATCGACTGTGCCATTTTCGTATGGAAAACTAAGTTATAAATACTGATAAAAGAAAAAGTTAGTAGGTGAATTGGGGTTGATAGCAGTGTTCCAAGATGTGTGCATATCATGCTTAGTAGTGGACTAATTTCATGCAGATTAATTGCTTCTTCACTTCTTTGGCTTACCCATTGTCTGTAGTAATGTCATTTCTCAATTATAGGGTGCTTCTTTCCTTATTTCTTCTTTTTCCTCTCCGTTTTTGATAATATAGTTGCTTCAGCTTGCAAAAGTCTACGATATTTTGTGTTTGAGCCAGTTTGTATCTGGTTTTTTAGTTTCGTAACAATTAGAAAGTTTTATTTCTGAAACAAGTTTATCCTCTAATTTCTCATTGGTCCTGAAACATATCTGTGATAATTGTCGTTATAGGCATATTACTGAAGATGAAGGAGTCTTTCCTAGAGAAACACATGTCCAGAAGGAAGTAGGTGCATGGAATAATTTGGTAGGCATTCTTCAAAGAACTAAAAAGAAGTTTCTTGGAAATCATATGGAACAGAAGAGCAGTAGCACTCATGCATTAGCTTCCACTTCTGATCTTAAGGATTCTGATAATGTTGTATCTGCTGATAGTCATGATAGCGGAAGTAAGAATAACCTTAAGATTACAATTCATTCAGAAAAGACATCTGTAGCTGATAAGGAAGAAAATGTCGACAGTGAAACATCTCAGTCTTCTTATGCAGACATGAGTGAACCTTTGGAGGTTGTTAATATGAAAAACACTTCAAATTCTGCTGCGCCTGAAGAATTATTAAATGTTTCCTCAAAAGAATGTGAAGAAATCGCTGGCCAAAGAGTAAATGGCATGTCTTCTGGTGCCTCATCTATCTGTGGAAAAGCCAATTGCAATGACGGTGTTCAACTTGGTAACATTTGCCACCGTCCAGAGTTAGTTGAGAAAGAGAGAGAACCATTGTTAGCTGAGGAAGCATCATCAAGTGTACAAATCAGTTCTAGTGGAGAGATCCTGTCAAAATATGAGGAAGACATTATGGAGTCGTGTAAATTTTCGTCAAAGTTAAAACTAGAAAGGAGTGATACCTCTGATTCATCTTGTGGCCCAGAGAGGGTGGCCAACTTACTAGATGTTTCTCAGGAAAAGAGAAATAATGAATCAGAGTTGGAGGGTAAGAATGACCAAATGCAAAAAGAGGAAGTAATATCAGAAATTGTTTCAATTTTGAAGAAGAAAGGAACATCCAATCTCGAGCAGGTTGCATATTCTAATAGTTTCTTGCCGAGCGAAGCAACCAACAAATGGCGGGATGTTCTTGTTAAAAAATCAGTTTTCTCTGCTAGTGAACACCGCCCATCCGAAGACATCTCTAGTCCTATCTTAATTTCTAAGTCCAAAATGGAGGAAATTTCATCAGTATCCAGTAATTCTTTTCAGATAATGAGTTTAGGGGATCACGACATGGAGACTGATCATGGAGCAGGAGATCAGATTGTCTACCCAAAGAGTGAACAATCTGTATCTAGAGAGTTTGAGCATCTTAATGAAACTTCTCAGAATACATTCGGAAAGAGTGGTGTCATAAAGAGCTTAATAGAATGTATCAGCGATCTGCCACCTCGGGAGCCATCTGTTGTTAGGACTGAGGAAAATGTTGTCGACAGAAGTGTTGACAGTTCTAGGGAAAGGACTGCAAATAGCAGTATTGAAGCAGAAACTGATAAGCAGACATTTGACAGGAAAGAAAGTAAGACTTCATCTCCGGGTGTGGTTGGAAAGAAGGAAAAGAGTAGACGATCTAACACAGTCCTCGAATATCTGAACAGTGGGGTTGATTTCTGCAAGTCAATAGAAACTAAGGGTGAGAATGCCTCTTTTTCTGAAAATTTATCTGATGAAAACAAAGTGACGGTAAAGTTTGTGAACTTAAAAGCTACAGAAAGTGATGTCTCTAACGCTCTCAAGAAATTTGGGGCTATTAAGAAGGTTGTATTCCCAAGTGTCAAATCAACTAAATTTAAAGTTGCACATGTTTATTTTGAGGTACGTTTTCAGTACTCTAATTCATTGACCATTTTGCTGCACGGCTGTGTTCTCGACTTTCTTAAGTTGTGTCTATTCAAATTATACCACAACAAGAAACAAAAAGAAGAAAAAAAAAGCGCAAGCACAAAAAGAAAAACAAAAACAGAAAAAAAATAGAAAAATAATTAAAAATTAAAAAATAAATTCATGTATTTTTCAGACCAATATGAAATGAGCTGCACTTCAGCATGAAAACAGATGATGTAAGCACTACTGCCCTGTCGCTTAATGATTAGATGTAAAAGTGAAATTGATCTAATAGTATACCAATATTTACACTAAAATTCTTAATAAATTTATGTAACTGGTAGATAAACGGGTTAATTATTTATCAATACACCCTGTATGTTCAGCTTGAGAGGTTAAAACTGATGATCTGTCGGGGTTTGACTTTCTTATAAAAGTATGTTCCTCTCTGCACTCCTTTTTTGCTTCCATTCTTCACACGACTTGCACAAAATGATATGTTCAGCACCAACTTGTGCCGCTGTGAATAAGATGTTACCTGTGGAAGTGTACGCTCATGAAGTGAATCGCCACTTTAACGTTCTAGCTTTCATCTACCATTTTTTTGGTTACTGCAGTCAGAAGAAGGAAGGCAAAAGGCTCTTGAAACGTCTGATGTGAGCATGGCGAAAGTAGTACTAGTTTTGGAGGCCACTTCTCCTCCGAAAGGGAAAGAGAGGATGCGTATACCTGATTTAATTGGCTGTCCAGACGTTCCTACCTCGTTAGTAAAGCATCCCCCAAGGACAGCTATGATAAAAAATTTGAAACACAATGTGTCCTTTCATGACATTGAAAAAGCGCTCGCCTTCTGCAGAAGCAATATCACTGGAATCTTCTTTGGTTCGTCAAGCTCTATTGCTTATGTGGAATTTGAGGTAATTTATTTCTAATGAAATAAATTTCCTTCTGGTTTCCCTCTTTTGAGTTCATCTAAATTCTTATACGGTAATGTTTTTAATAACATAAGTGGATTTGTTATATTAGCAATTAGTTATTCACATTCGGAACTTTCTTCTGCAGACAGTTGAGGACAAAGAAATTGCTGTTGAGAAGGCTTCTTTGATTGTTCTTGGAGAAAGACTACCGATCTTAAGAATTGATACACCAAGAACAACCACTATAAGGATATCAAATATCCATTTTCCACTGAGTAAACTGGTTTCCGTTTGCCGATCTTTTGGAAATGTTAGGGAAGTCCTCCAAAGAGCTAGCAACATCGTAGATGTGCGGTTCGATTTTGCTGAATGGCCAAGAATGTTAAAGATTTTAAACAGGTAATTGCTTGCTTATCATAAACTGGTTCCCCTTAATTAGCACATCTGTTTCCTCATCCTTGTTTCTCATTACGTTTATTATGGTTGTGCCAAGGCTGAACGGAGTTGAAGTAGATGGTTGCCAGTTGGTCGCGAAGCCTGCACCTGTCTATTCCCCTAATGTCCTTAACGTTCTCTGGAGTCAACCGGAGGGGAGAAGACATTTGAAAACCACGTTCAACGACATGCTACTGAAATTCGGGGGAAAAGGTGTGGGTGCAGTTGCTATGACAGAAGTTGTAGACAACTTTTATACTGATGCACAAGAAAGATAATTATTCTATGTACATTTATAGATGGTAAGGTATGATCTTAGCCATAGTGGAAAATCCCCAAATCATAGGACCACAGGTGAGGATTGTTGTGGACAAGGACTTGCTTTACCCTGCTATCTATTACTATAAGAGTAAACAATGGCAACAACTACACTTTAGTCCCAAACAAGTTAGGGTCGGCTTTATTAATTCTCACTTCTTCAGCAGAAATACCAGGATGAGAAAATGTGGGATTGTATATTTGTTTGGTAATTAAGGTTTTTAGGGATGGCATATAGTAATAGCTATTTTTAAATACCAGAATCGAGCTTTGCAGCTCATGTATGCAATGTAGAAGTTGTAACTTCTAACATCAATGTAATGGCTAATGTTTTTCTTTTTTCTTATCTATTCTAAAGGCTGATAACAACTAGTCTTCCTAAAGTTCTTTTTTTCCCCATTAAGTAAAGTAAATTTTAGAGTATTTAATATAATATTAAGTCTCGCGGTTAATAGTATTTCAAGTTAGCCGTCAAATCTTAAAGAATAACAACCCAATGAATTTTTACAAGTGGGGTCTAGGAAGGGCCGGGTCTAGGGAAGGTCAGATGTATACAGCCTTACCCCTATCCTGAGAAGGTAGAAAAGCTGTTTTCGATACACCCTTAACTAAAGAAAAGATGAAAGAAGCATCGACAACAAGTAAGAAAATTGAAGCCGAGATAGCAATAGAGCGGTAGGCAGTAATAGCAACTAGCCATCAAATCTTGAAATATTTAAGGACCCGTTTGGACATAGATTCCCAAATATTTTGTGAAAAAGCTGAATTGGATGAAGTTTGATTTGAAATTAAAAATGTGTTTGGACATGAATTTTGGGCAAGTTTTGGCATGTTAAAAAGTCCCAAATGGTAATGATTTGGTCCCAAAAGAGGTCTTAAGCTATATTTGTGATTTGAAGTTTTGGTTTTTAAAATCTCCTAAAAACTAGATTAATTCTATAAACAAATACATTTAAATTTTTTAGAAAAGAAAACTTCCAAAACTTATGGCCAAACGCCTATGAAATCTCCTCACTCTCCCTTTTTCCAAAATTAAAAGAAATTATTGCAACATGATCTCTTTCATGGATTGAAATCAATGGTCTATTGTCAGCTAAAGCTGAACTGAAATCCACATTACTTAAGTTTCCAAAGATCTTAAATCTAATCAGATTATTCAATTTTATATAGGCATCAAAAGAACCAAAAACAGATCACTAACTTCTTTTAGGATCTTCTTTTCACATGCAAACATAGAATTTCTTTTGTGTGTTGTGAAAATTTTGGAAATACAATCTGTTCCCTTCCCCCCAATTTAATTAACTTACTTTAACTTGTAAACCATGACAACTATAAAACCAAGTAAAAATTGACACCCTTCTCATAACATTAATAACCATGAATTCCTTCAAATTCTATCTCCCAATTCTTGTCCTTTTACAAATTTTAACATCTTCTTTAGCTACACTTTATCCAGTTTCTGTTGCTAATATATTGAATGCACCATTAACTATCCATTGCATAGCACAAGGACAAAATGTTAGTAGAGACAATGCCCCTGCTGGTTTTGTTCTTAATATGTCTATTGACACAAATCTTGCTAATCCAACTGCTACATGTCAACTAAGTTCTGGAAATTTGCAAGGGAATTTTGTGGTTTTTGATCCTTCAAAAGAACCTAACAGATGTTTTAATGGAAGATGTCTCTGGCAAGCAAGACCAGATGGGCTTTACCTTGTTATTAATGGCCAGTTTAGTTTAGTGTATAAGTGGCCATAAATTGTTATTTAATTTGCATGTGTAATAGAATATTTGCAAGATTTTGTTAGTCTTTCTAATTTTTGGTTGAAATTATTTTTATCCGTTTTAAGTGCTTATTCTTTTGTTTAATCATTCGATAGGGTCTTTCGAAAACAGCCTTTCCGTCATCTTGAAGGTAGCGGTAAGGTTCTCGTACATAGTATTCTCCCTAAACCCCACTTGTGAAATTACACTGGGTCTGTTATTGTTGTTGTTGTTGTTATTTGTTGTTTAATCATCCGATATTCCAACTCGCTAACCAGAATAATCCTAGTAGGGAATTGATTTTCCTTTTAGTGGGCAAATTTAACTTACATGTGGTTATCTCCCTCATAATTTTCTCCAAATAAAGAGACCTCCAAAGAATTAACAGATCAACGTTATCTGTGAATATTTAAAAGCCACAACTCAAAATCAACGTCATCTGTAAGTATTTGAACAATACAAACAAATTTTGCTAATCGGTTAATAAACATGTAACGACCCGACCGGTCGTTTTGAGCTTTTGCACTTCGGTCGTTAGTTTTCGGGCATGACTAGCCCCGTGTGATGTATTATGACTTATGTAAATCGCCGGTTTTGGTTTTCAGGGTAATCGGAATGAATTTGGAAGAACGGTTCTTAGTTTAAAACTTAAAATTTGAAAAGTTTGACCAAGTTTTGACCTGTTAGTATACGATCTCGGATTGGAATTTTTATGATTTGGTTAGCTCCATTAGGTGATTTAGGACTTAGGAGCATGATCGAAATGCATTTTGGAGGTCCGTGGAAGGTTTAGGCTTGAATTGGCGAATTGGAGTTTTGGCGTTTTCCGGTTGATAGGTGAGATTTTGATATACGGGTCCCAATGGAATTCCGAAAGTTTGAATAGGTCCATTGTGTCATTTTTGATGTGTGTGCAAAATTTCAAGTCATTCGGACGAGGTTTGATAGACTTATTGATCGAAAGCGGAATTTGGAAGTTTTTGAAATTCTTAGGCTTGTATCCGATGAAGATTTGGTGTTTTGATGTTGTTTTGAACGTTCCGAAGGTTGGAACAAGTTTGAATGATGTTATGGGATATGTTGGCATGTTTGGTTGAGGTCCCGAAGGTCTCGGGTGAGTTTCGGGTGGTTGAACGGATCATTTCATGTTGGAAAAGTTGCAGAAAAACTGTTATGGGTGTTGCAGGCTTTTGGCCTTCGCGTTCGCGATGGATGTCCCGCGTTCGCGAAGGGTTAGGATGTGTGACAATAGAGTTGGCCTTCGCGTTCACGAAGGTGGTCCCGTGTTCGTGAAGGGCTGAGGTCAGTGGCCATCGCGTTCGCGAGGGTGTTGACGTGTTCGCATAGAGGAAAGGTGTGCAGCTGAGGTCCTGGAGAGTTGTTCTTCGCGCTCGTGAGCTAGTAGTCGCGTTCGCGATGCTTTGATGAGCTGAAGCTCCGCGTTCGCGTTAGGGTTGTCGCGTTCGCGTAGAAGGAATTTTGGTTAGTGAAGCTTTGTGCTTCGCGAACGCGAGGGTGCTGCCACGTTCGTGATGAAGAAAATATCTGGGCAGAATGTTTAAGTTCAAAATCGAGGGTTTAAGTCCAATATCACAAAAACCATTAGAGAGCTCGGGAGAAGGTGAAATTTGAGGAGATTTTTAGTGGAGTAATTGGGGTAAGTATTCTTCACTCATATTTGGTTTAATTCTATGATTTAGTCTTGAATTTCATCATTTAATTTGATAAATTAGAGTGGGAATTAGGGAAAAATGGAAAAAAAGTTTGAGAATTCTTTTTGGGGATTTGAAAGGTTAATTGAGGTCGGATTTTGATGAATTTGATAAGGGTAGACTCGTGAGAAGGTGAGGATTCTATCGATGTGATTTTTATAGGATTCTGAGACGTGGGCTTGAGGGCCGGGTTTGAGTCATTTCGGGATTTTTGATGTAAATTGGATATTTTTGAGTGGGCTTTGTTCCCTTAGCATATTTTGATGGTATGAATTTGCTTTTGGCTAGATTTAGAGCATTCGGAGGCCGAGTCGAGAGACAAAGGCATCGCGGGCTAGAGTCTGGATCGGATTGAGGTAAGTAATGATTGTAAATGTTTGTTCTGAGGGTATGAAATCCCGGATTTCATATCGTTGTGCTATTTTCAGATGACGCACACACTAGATGACGAGCGTGGGGCCGTACACTATTGGGGATTGTGACTTAGTCCGTCCCGAATGACTGTTTTACTACATATTTGATTGAAAACTGTTTGCTATCATCATGTTTTGGGCTGAATGCCATATTTGAGCCTCGTGCCAATTGTTTTGGACCTTTAGGGGATTTTTACTACTACTCCTCACTGTTTTGACTTTATACTTGTACTCAGTCATGCTATATTCTACTGTTTTTATAACTCAACCATGTTTACTCTGTTTTGACATTTTAAATGATATTTGAGCTGAGTATCATATTTTACTGTGCCCGAGTGGCTTTTAGAGATTTCTGACAGAGTAGGACCGAGGGCCTGTGTTGTGAGGATATTATGGGATCGGGCTGCGCGCCGCAACGGTATTGAGCTGATTCATGATTATGAGGTCGCGGGACTGAGTTGTATGCCACAAGATGGCTTGATATGAGGCCGCGAGCCTATTGATTATTCCACGAGGTGACTTGATATTGTGCTTGGGCCGTAAGAGGCCCCTCCCGGAGTTTGTACACCCCTAGTAAGCGCGGGTATCCAGTATGAGATGTGATATAGCCCGAGGGGCTGCTGTTGTTCCATGTTATTGCCCGAAGGGCGGTTCTTGATTTATGTTGTGCCCGAGGGGCTGATTACGAGTGATTGTGAGGTAGCCCAAGGGGCTGGTTTTGTTGATATTATGCCCGAGGAGCGGTTTATGGTACATGTTTTGCCCGATGAGCTGTTTACATTTCTATCATGTTTACTCACTATTTTATGACTCGTTTGAAACTATTGAAAATTGTTTTAAAAGGTTTTACCGAAACTGAGCATGATTTACAAAGTAAATGATTTCTGTATTATGTTGGAAATATCCTGCATTTGTTGTAGCGTTTGACGTGGCTTACCTGTTTTCTTACTACTCACCTTTCATTTACCTTTGTTACTTACTGAGTTGGAGTACTTACATTACTCCCTGCACCTTGTGTGCAGATTCAGGTATTTCTGAACTTAGTAGTGGGTGTTGATTGCTTAGTGGCAGAGTCATCGGAATTAGCAAGGTAGCTGCCCGACGTCCGCAGCAATACTTTTCTCCCTCTTGTTTTCGTAAGACTGTATTTAATACATTTTTAGACTTTTCATTGTATTCAGACTTTAGTAGATACTCGTGACTTGTGATACCCCGATGTCGGGCTTGTGTATTTATTCCGCACTGTTCATTTAGACTTTTATTATGAAATATTTAATTAATTAAAGACTTTAAAGTGACTTTTATTGATTAAATGGTTAATTCAGGTGTTGTGTCGTCTGTCCTAGTTTCACGATAGACGCCATCATGACCGGGTCGGTTTTAGGGTCGTGACAAGTTGGTATCAGAGCCTACGTTAAATAGGTCTCACGAGTCATGAGCAGGTTTAGTAGAGTCTCGCGGATCGGTACGGAGACGTCTATAATTATCCTTTGGAGGCTGCAGAACCTTTAGGAAAAAAAACTTCACATTCTTGAATTCTTATCGTGCGTCCTTGATTCAGCTTGAAATGTAACTCCTTGAATTCCTTCCATGCATTCGTATGCGCGCATGAGCGCTCAGTACCAGATATGCATCGATGGCTTGTGATTCCCTGATCGAGGGGTAAGGTGTGATCTCTGTGTGTTGATATTGGGGCAGTTTGGAGGACTTGAGGCCGAGTTTTGCCTATAGCTTGAGCACTGAGGCATTGATAGTGTGAGCACGTGCTTTTGGATTTGTATGTCCGATAATGTCCCTATTAGTGGGAGTGATGACTGGATAGTAACGTGTTGAGTATGAGGTGACTGCGAGATGTGTGCACATGATTTGAACGAGACAAGAAGGGTCTGCTTGGAGGTAGTAAGCACTATCCGGTGCTTGATTTCCATCATGATTTGGATTATAGCCCGAGTTGTGGGCGTGTTGAAGGACCTTTTCATGTTGCCTAGTGGGAAGTGAAGTAGATTTCACATTGTGAATTCAGTGACTGTGTAATGTTTATGACGGTGGAAGGGTATAAGGAGATGTTAGTTTGAGGTGAGGCAGGTGGGTTATCTCCTGCGGATTGTTCTGAAGTTTGTGTGATCCTTTATGCCGTTTATTGGAAGATCTCTGTTAACCAGTGAAAAATATGTGTTGCAATTTGAATTTGGGTCGCTTAAGAGAGTGGTCTTGATTGTTACGAGGGTGAATGCACGATTTGCGGAAGATTTAAAGTACTAGATGGTCTGTGTTGCACGAGCTTTATGAAGGATTGAGTTTAATCTCACTATGGTATTATGGAAATAATAGAGCATATGCATTATGAGTTATTGTGTGTTTTCATCTATGGCTTTGAGTCAAGTGGGGGAGTATGCTATTGAGTAGTTGATTACACGGTTATGTGTTATATTGGTTTCAGTTTAAGGCATGCTAGTGAATTAGTCGTGGCTTGCAAGGGTTAAGATCAAGAATGGTTCGAGTAGAGGAAATTTTAATAAAGGTTGTGTTATGCTGCATGGGTGTACAAGAATCACATAATGAGTTGAGTTGTTATTGGTAAAGGATGTACGGTGCGTAGGGAAAGAATTTGTTTGGTTGCATTAAGGTGGGGTTACTTACTTAGGTGTTGCTGTACTAAGGAGGCACACGTTGTTCGGTTCATTTGATAAGTCCAATTGAGGTTGAGTAGAGTGGACGACTCCCGAGAATGGTTTTGAAGGATTCAAGATTTACATGTAGTAATTGGGAATCTTCAGGTTGTATAGTTGGTTAGAAACTAAGGTTTGCATTGGAGGTTGTCAAGACTTGTGGTATTTCTATATCAATTAGGGAATTCTATATATCAGTA